TGAGTTTGTGTAAATTTTAAATCTGATGATGGCGCTGTTGTCTCGCTTCACTCTTTGATTGAGACACAGGAGAGATACGAATGTGATAACAAGTACACGCAGTCAGGAAAATAAATCAGAGTAAAATAATACATGGATATTTACATGATTTAATCTCAGGTTAATGTCTCATTCACGAATGGTTTCATTCTAGCTGTAGAAGATCCATGCTTGGACAAGGAAAACTTAGCGCTTGAGGCTTTACGAAACTGGCATGAAATGCCAGTGGTTGGTTTCAAGTTGGTTCCCGAGCATGTTGAGACCAGATCACTGTTTACCCCAGATAAACCAGGCATAGAGCAGGTAATTGCCTAACAAGTTTCTTAGGTACCAAACGCAGCCAGTAAAAGCGTTGCGAAAGACAAACAGCGTCTTTAACTCATCAATATAAACAACAGTTTTGCATTGAAAAAAATTATATTTTCACTGCTTGAAACTGGCGAGTTTGGCGAGTCCGTCCTGGAATCTTCAGCACACCTCTTGATAGATTTTTGCAGTTTTTTGACTGTTTTTTCTTGAACTTTAGGGCAAAATCCAACTCTGGATTGACATGTTTCCTCGCCTCGACTGCCCTGTTCCCGATAAAATCAACATAACGCCTCGAAAACCCGTTTCCTACGAGCTACGGGTGATCATCTGGAACACCGAAGACATCATTCTGAGTGAGGACGATTTTTTTTCGGGCGAAAAAAAATCCGACATCTACGTTAAAGGGTATTTTCTACCAAAAAAACAAAGTTTAAAATACGAGGGAACTCTTTTTCTAAACTATTTAGATGGTTGGATCAGCCTCAAAACACCCAGTTTACCGATGTTCACTATCGATCCTTAACAGGCGAAGGCAACTTCAACTGGAGGTTTATTTTTAAATTCGACTATCTGGCAACAGAAAACAAGCTGGTGATGAAACGGAAGGAATCCATATTTTCCAAGGATGCAACTGAATTGAAAATTCCCTGTGCCTTGCACTTGACTGTGTGGGACAACGACACTTTTTCAGCAGATGATTTTTTGGGTGTCCAGGAAAAATCCACTTCCCCAAATTCAGTAGGTTTGGACGTGTTTTTTAGGTTCCTTGGTGCTGGAACTGGCCAGAATGCCTCGAGGCGCCCGCTCGTCCAAAAAATGCGACTTATCCATCCTGGAACCCAACGCTAAAAAGATCAACCTGTTCAAGCTCAGAAGAACCAAAGGATGGTGGCCGTTTCAGGCGACAGACCGCAAAACCCAACAAACAATGCTTGGGGTGAGAACCTTTGCCGAAAAATACACCCTTGGTTTAACTAGAAAATTTTAGGGAAAAGTTGAGCTTGAGCTGGAAATCCTCACCAAAGAAGAAGCGCAAGTGAATATAGTGGGAATGGGCCGACAAGGCCCTGAAGCGCTGCCTCCGCCAAAGTGAGTTTTGCAAAGGAAAACTGATGTTTTCCTATTCATACATGATAGGGTTTCCCTGCTCAACCTCGTCTAAAAATACTCAATTAGCCCTCGACTTGTTTGGCTTCAATAATCAAGTCCAGGACCGACAGGAGTTTATATAGTAATTCTTGCTCTTTTTAGGCGCCCAGACACATCATTCACCTGGTTTCGAAATCCTCTAAAGTCTTGCAAATATGTCGTCTGCAAGACTTGGAGGTGCAAAATTCTCAAATGCTGCTTTTGCATTTTCCTAGTCTGTTTTGTCGTGCTGGCCATTTACACCCTACCAGGGGAATTTGTGCGCAAAACTTTAAATTCATTAATCTAATCCTTATGAGGCAAGAATATACTATTTAAACGGTATTTTATGGGTGGTTTGTTCAAATCGAGCCTGCGTAATTTTTTCAATTGCGTTTTTAGGTTGGGCGATCGAATCCAGCACCGACACTACCAGGGGGGAGATTCGACGTTTTTCGCCTGCTTTCGAAAGCCCTTTAAACGATCGCCATTCAAACGCTCAAAAGGCCTGTCGAAAGATTGCAGCATTTTTTTTGCAGTTCTTCTAATCATTGCCATAATGTTTGCGATTTGCATGTTTTTGTATTTCGGCGGATATATACAGGGCGCCAATGGCAGCTGCGCCAAAAGAAAAAGAACAGTGGCCGATTTAGATGAGGATTTTCCCTGAACTTTGAGATCGTAGTTAAGAGAAAGCTGTGATTATTTTTATATTTTTAGTGTTTTAATATAGTGTGGAAGTCGTGAAGAGGGTTTTTTTATTTCTTGTGGTTGCATTTTGCGTTGGTTGTAAAAATTGTTTTTTTAATCAAAAACGGCTGAACATTCTTTCAACCTCTCTTTGCCATAAGATGCGTTGAAAATGCTTAAGAGAATCTAAGAAGGTCCTTGGGTGGTTGAAACTGATGAAATATTCTTTTCAGATGAAACGGGGCTATAAAAATAATTTTTGAACGGAATCAAAATAAATGAATAAAAGAACCGTCTAATAGCAAGTTTTCACTTAAGCAAACTTTCTCGGTTTGGCACAATTCCCACATTTGCTCCACTCAAATAATCTGCGCAAATATTTTTATAATAAAATCCGAGTAGATTCCAGTCCACTAATAATAAATACAAAGTTTTTCTCATATGGAAAATATGAATAGAGCAAAAGAAACGAAAAATGTATGCAAATATTGGCCCGGTGGCAATTAAAAGCCAATTACGTAGTTTGTGTTCAATAAGAAATGCCTGAATAAATAAAATGGAAAAGACGCAAGTCAGTGATTTTGACTTCGTTTGAAATCGAACTTCGCCTAGTGTGGACTTGCCAATTAAAAAGTGTGCTTAATAAATTGTCGGCAAAACGGCAGGTAAGAGATTGGCGATGTGCAAGAGTCGAAAAAGTCGATTTAATTAATTTGCCATAATAATTGCATCTGAAGGGCAAATTGCCTGAAATTGATAGGGTGGATACAAGTTCAATCTGGCTTTACCGAGTTAGGAGCTCTGGAGGCAAACACGCCCCAATTCCATGCAAAGTACTTTTATATGCACTTTAACATTTTTTGTCGCCCCTCATAATAGCAAGATTTCATCAGCGTCTTCCCTTTAATTTCTTGCCTACTCTACAAGTTTTCATCCTGGATTGGCTTAAACTTTGTTTTCAATAATTTAGTAAATTTAATCTCAACATTTTTTCTCTTCGTCTGCAAGCAATTGTTGGCATTTTTAGAACTTTTCGAAAAAAGCCGGTTTTCGATTGGCTCTACCCTTTCACCCTTATTAGACATGTCAGTTACCCAGAATGTGTTGTTTCATTCGTTCGCTCATCGTGACAAACAGATATCGGATGTGTTCGAGTCGAGTAATTAGCAAATAAATTGTTTTCATCGCGTTTACTGCAACTTACTCGTGAACAAACAGTGCGAAAGTTGTCTGCTTGATTATCTGGTGAGTTTAGAAGATTTATGAGAAATGTGTGAAATTTTCCGTTAGGAAGTTTATCTTCCTTGAGAAAAACTCCCTAACGAACCGAATAATTTACTTTACAAAAAATGGGAAACCAAACTGTTTTAGTTTTTTTAATTAACTGTTCACATCGAAGCATTTCATCCAATACATTGATTGACTAAATTACCGGCCAAATTACTAAGAGACTTGCGAATGGATTGACATAATTATCATGTCCCAAGCCGAATTAGGCAAAGTGCTCCAGACAACTTATTGCATGTTCGGCTCGAAACACTCCGGATATTATCAAAATCGTCTAAATCTTTTGCGGTATTGCCATAACCCATTTTCAGCACAGAAATATCTAGAATTTTTTAAAAATTCTTTTGCGAATTTAAAGTAATTTCAGTCAACTCCAGCTGAGTTGAGTAGGAAGTAAGTAGTTCTTTAAGAGTAGCCATCGAATCTAAACATCATCAACAACTAAACGCCATTATTCTAGAGAAAAGACTTCATTATTTGGGCATTTTCAGAATGTTTCAGTGAAAGAAACTATGCCGAATTTTTTATACGTATTCCAACTGCTCAGATACTGGCAAATCGATGAAGATATCCCGACAGGACTGCCCGGATCAGCCACCCCAATTATCACAGTTTTGCCAGCTGAAATCGTCGGACCACCGGAAAAGAAGAACCTCAATGGCCGAATTAGCTCCGAAGAAATTGGCCTGATGACGGATGAAGCCAATGGTGACCAGCCCAAGAAATCCTCGAACCCAAAAACAACTTTCCATGTAAGCGCTTTTAATCACATCTAAGGATATGGAGGACGAAAAATAATTATTTGCCAATTTCAGGCCCGAATCATGAACCTATTCAGATCAATTTTAAGATCGTTTGCAAGGGAAAATGAACTGCAGAGCATGCTGCCCTCTGACTTGGAAAAAGGGCAGGAAAAGGCATCGACCGGGGGTGGAGAAGCTGTTTGTTCGATCGCTGCCAGCCCTTACAGGATCCTTAGGGTAAGTCGCTTGAGCTGGAAAAGGTGTCAGCTAAAGTATAGTAAAACTGGGTTTTTGAGCCTCAAGCACAATGCAAAATAATACATTTATAAACGTTTGAGTTTAACTGTTTAACTGACCAGAGACTAATTTTTTCATGATTCACTATAATTGCCAATTATCACAATATCATCTTAAGCAAGGAACAAAGTTCATATTGCTGACATTTTTTTTCATTTAGTGATTTAAGGAAAGTTGATATTTGTTAATAACAGCCTGAAATAAATTTTTTTGGATTTTTAAAGCAGGTTCAACAGAGTAAAAAATAACAATTAACTAAAAGTCCAGACACTAATTGAATATCATCATAATATTGCCGATATTGCGTTTTTCTAATTATCCCTCACTCACTAATTGATAAATGATTGTACCCACTAAAAGTAACGCAAACCTTGCGTGCCCGGATGATCTCAGGAGACCTTGTTAATTTTTGTTATGAACGTTTAGCTGCATATAATACCGTTTATGAACAACAAGAACAAATACTTGTCACGTTATTTTTATTTTATTCTCCATAAAGAATTTTTTGTTGTTACTATATATATATAATTTATGTCTTGTTTATAAGCGGGTTTTGCTTAAAGCGCAGAAACTCAAAAATCAGCTTTTAATGCGATTTGACTAAAAATTCTCGTCTTCCCAGAATCAAGTTCGTTCTGTAGACTGTAGCTTTCTTAAATTGCTAGTCGCTCTAGATTAGGAGTTGGAAATTTTTTGAGCCCAATGTGTACTTGGGCGAAAGCGTTACCAAGTCGGAAAAAATTATCATTTACGAATATTTTAATCAAATTTGCAGGCGTTTCAGATTTGACTGTCTTCTATGAAAAGTAAGCATTGCTAATTATTAATCGTTCCAAATTAATATTTAAAAAAAAATTTAGCATACGGTGAACTTACGTAAAATTGTCCATTTTTACATTTTACAAGTGGCCAAAAATCAGATCTTGCGAATATTTTATTAACATTTTTTGAGTTTCCATATCCGAATGTCTGTTATAGACTCTAGGAGTTCCAAGTTCTGCGGATATAAAAATTTGGATTTATGAATTTTTTGAGCATAAAATGCTCTTGAATGAACATTAAAATTTTTATACTTACATTACAGGTTGCTAAAAATCAGAATTTACCAACTTTTTTATATACTTTACAGTATTTTCAGGCTTGCATGTCTTCTATCGACTGTAAGAGATACACGTTATAAGCCTCTCTAGATTACCAATTTTTTAGCAAATTTTCAAGCATGCAACTTGAACTTGAGTAAAAATGCCATTTTTACACCAAGCTTTAACAAGTAGCCAAAAATCAGACTTAACGAAAGCTTTAGTGAAATTTACCCACTTTCCATATTTAAGTTTTTCCGATAGACTGCATTAGTTTCAAGTTATTAGCGACTCCAGATGAGGAGTTGGAAATTTTTCAAACACAGTGAAATTAACTTTTTTAAACCTACATTTAACAGCGCGCAAAAAATCATAATTTACAAATATTGTAAAAACATTTACGGACTGTAGAAGGTCCAAATTATTATCCGCTCTAGATTAGGAGTTTTTTTTTGAGAAAAAGCTGTTCCTGAGTAAAAACAACAGCAAAATTTAGAATTTAGCCCGATTTAAGTGAAAATTCCCAGTATTCTTGACACAAACATCTGCTCTGGACCGTAATATTTTTAAATCGGCACCCGCTTTACGAAAAAAGTGATGAATTTTTCAAGCGTAGATTGAAAAGCACTTGGATGAAAACGCCCATTAATACCCACCAATAGACTTGACTTGAAATGCGCAAACATGTTCACTGAGGAAATAAGAAACGCTCTGAAAACGTTTAAAGTACATTTGAGTATGAAAATGGAAGGGGATATTTACACACTTTATGAAACGCATTTCTGATGTATCAAACGGAGGACAATATTTAAAATTTTTGGCTTTTGACTGCCCAGATGAACATTTTCAACGTAAAATAAATGCGACATTTTTCACAGTTCAAACCCTGAACGTGAAGGGTGTTGCACTTTTATAGGGTCTGCGAACTTTGCCGATAACTGAGTAAAAGCTTCCAAGTTCTTTTATCAGGCGCAAAGTTAAAAATGGGTTTATCAAGTAAAATGTGCTGAGTACCCAAGGGATAAAGGTAGTCTATCATAAATAGGAAACTAATCCCTAAAACGTGCACTTGTAGATTTTAAAGAGCAGCAAAGCGTTGAGTTCTGGAATATTTATACATACATGAGTCAGTAGCAATTTAACAAAGAGCTTGTCCAAACACAACCCAACTGTCCATTTGCCTATGTAAGCAGCTTTTTATTTACTTAAAAGTCCATAATCTATAATTTGCCATCTATTAAAAGCCCGAGACACGTTTTAGATTAATTATCTACTTTTAACTGAAGCTTTTGTTTAGGAGCTCAAAATGTTCCTCTTATTTTGCTGTTTGTATGTTAATAATTGTACGTCGTTATATCGAACTCGCTGTTCTCCACCTATAGACTTTCTTGCTCCATATTCTTGAAAGAATTAAAACAAGCGACAGTGGAAAATTCAAGTCACTGAAGAGCGCCGATTTAATACCACAAAAAGTTAACATGTGTAGTTGTATAGAAGAAGCACGAAATTCGGGTTTTCCAGGGCAAATGCCAGCTGCTTTATGAAAAGAACTGGCTCTATTGCCAGAAGGTTCAAAGCAATTAGACGCACAAGTTGAGTAGAACAGTTTTTGGAATTTTTCTTTTGAAAAAAAAGGTAATTGGTTCAATAAAGATGCTCTAGATTGCATTTAGCAGTCGAAGTTTGGCCAATTGTTTCAATTCTGATGTCGAAATTTAGTTGCGAAAGTAATAAAACACTAGTGCTGGAGTTGTTGAAACGGATTGAATCATTTTTTTCATTATTTCGCAACTCGGACTTAAACATTTGAGCTTTGAGAATTGATTTACAAACGATTTTTACACCAGTTTGCACTTGAAATGCATGCAAATTGAAGATGTGCTATTGAACTGCGGACATTTCTAAATTACTATGTACTGATGATTGTAACCTTGCACCGATGATTCTGTAGTTATTTTAGTAAATTTCCTGTAAACATCGTGTATTGTTAGTATGCGATTTCCTAATAATTAATACTTAAAATACAATTAATTAGGAAACCGTCAAGCAATTGTGCCTGTAATCGTCCACTTTTATAATGGTTTTATTTAGGGTGAAAATTCAAAGCAAAGCAAAAATCCTCAAAGTCAAAATAAGTCGCTAAAGATAAACATAAATAAAATCAAAGCTCAAAGGATCAGTGGCTGAAACCGTACAATTGTGTTAACTTGAATAATTTTCCATTAAAAATTATTTGGCGGTTTCAGTCGCTGTACACGTTTTCCATGAACATTTGCACATTGAAAATGATGCATGAAATACAGTTTATTCCACGCACACAATGCCCAACGTGTAACTAAATTTGAATCAAGTACGGATTTGCTGAAGCTATTTAAAGCTCTTGCAAACGATGCCTTTTGCCTAAAGCGTTTGTCTGCTAATATTGAAGTTATGGGGACTGTTTGCCACAACAGCAGCCAACAGTATATTTCATATCTCAACTATCGGCATATTTGAATGGCGGAATTTCGATTTTTGAAAGATTTTGGTGTTGGGTGTCGACCAATTGTACTTTCAATTGTGCGTGTTTGCCTTTAAAAGCCCCTCAATTGCAAACTAGAATAAATAAAAGTTTAAAATTTTTTAGTTTGGTACCAAAGACTTTTGTACCTAAGTGTACTGAGTTGCAGAAATTTCCACCAAATGATTTTTTTGAAAAGTTTTTTTGAGGAACTTAAAAACTCGCATAAAAATTCCGCATTAATAAGAGCTGGTATAAAAGAAGCCACAACCCTTAAACCTGAGAAGCTGCCCATTTTTTCGAGATTTAGCTGATTTTTGGAAATTTCTCAAACATCTAGAACCCAGAAGCTGCATTTTCAAATGAGCGGTTTAGCTTTAAAAATTTGCAAGTTGTAAACTGCTGCAGATAGAAGGTTGCAATTTTTGCTGTGAGTAAAGAGGGCCTTAGGGTTTTTGTATGAAACGTTAACGATATTTCCTTCTTCATAAAACTTCACAAACTTCCATAAAAAAGCTGTGTTTTCAAATGTGCACGTTTGTCTTCAAAAATTCAGCTGAAAACTTCACCAGCATGAAGAACTAAATTCGTAATTATGATAACCTGAGCCTTGGTGCATAAGTGGGCAAATATGCAAAGTTTTTCAATAGTTCAAGATTCCATTCATGTGTTGCAAACTCGGGCAGGCAGATACATAAAATTTGCAATTTGGAAAAGAAGCTTTAGACTCAATTAAAATAAATTATTTAAACTTGTTTATTCAATTTCAAATCCCATGTTGTTCATGTTAGTTCCAGTCAGTTCAATTTAAACGTGTGACTGCGGAGGCGTCGTTGGGGAATTACATTGCTATCAATCCAGAAATACAAAAATGAAAACGCAAAAATGTCCAGCGCATCAAAGCCGGATATGAGATTGAAATGAAAAAGTTATTTTTATTGCAATCTTTAGCAGACAAATTTTTGTAACATTGAAGATGAATTATTGGCAAACGTTAGTCATTTTCACAAAATTTTGTAAAATAACACCATTTTCATAATTTACTAGCATACGACACACCGTTATTTTCGCTAAGTCTTCTCTGTTTTGGGTTAACTTTTGGTGGCCGCAAGAAGAAATTATTGGCCATAAAGGCCCAATGGGCCAAAAACTCCCCAATCTCACGCCCCTAATTATCCAACAATTTTCCTCATTTCTAAGTTAAAATTAGAAAAATTTGCTGTGCTGTTGTCTCTTCTCCAGCAAAACACGCCGATAGCTTCCCATAAAGTCGGTTGAGAATTTATATACAATTCAGCTACAGATTCGGCGTGCAGCATTCAGTTCGAAACGTGGTTACATTTGCGTGACTCTCCACATCTTCTATCAGTTGATATCGCGTAACTGTAGTGAGTTAGAGGTCGGGGAAACATTTTCGAATGTACGATAAATCCGCAGCTGCAAACGAAAATTCTAATTTTACCTGTTTGATCTTTGTAAACTAAAAAAATCTTGAATGGATAATCACTTCGATGCTTGGTAAGGGACATTTTTCACTGATTGTTTTACTGGAATTAGCACACTTTTGCATTGGAAGCATTGGTTAGTTTAGAAGGAAGTTACCATATTAAAACCTCTGATCAAATTAAAGAAAATAAGCGAGTAAGGCATCAAAAAAAATTAAACGTATATTTAAATTATTGATAACATGCCGCACTTTCAACTACTCTCAAGCTCCTAAAATCAAAGTGATGGAAATGCAATTAAATAGCAACTGTAAAAAATTCGTTTCCGCTTGAGTCAACAGAAAAATATGTTCGAAAAAAGACTCAGTCTAATAGCAATAAGCCTTATGAAATTCCAATTCAATTACCATAAAATTTCCCCAATTTATTCAGAAAGTCTTTTAAGTCTTTCTTCTTTTATCGTTCTGTTAATTTATGTTTTCAGCGTGAAATATAGAAAGTATTTTTTTCTATTTGTATATGAAATCCCATCACCATCTATTTAGGCACACATTTTGGATAATAATTCAAAATTTTTCTCATGCATACAGAAAGTGCATGCAAAACATTGCTGAGCTCCACTAAAAAAGTTTAATTTTCACAATTGGATGTTGTATGAGACACCAGTGCTTAACTGTCTTTAAATGTTCAAATTTTGCATTCATGCGAATACATTTTTAATATAAGAGGACAAAACACCTATAGAATATTTATAATGTAGAACTTCTATTCATAATTTACATTCAAAGTGTGGAAGATTCATTAAATTTGAAATGAAAAATCGTATTTCAATCTTTTCAGGCGCAACTGTGCTGGATGTTCATCCTGCATAGTTCAAAATTTTGCAAGACCATATTAATTAAAAAGTCAATTTATTAATGTATGACTCAACGGTGTTCAATTTGTTAAAAACGTCCACACTAAGCTCGTGTAAATATGATCGCACTATAAGCTTCTAAAAATAAATAATTCATGAAATCCCAGAATGTTTCATTTTAAAACGAAAAAGTGATCGCTCAAAGCGAGTGAACAAAGTGGAAACCAAAACCTTGCATCGAATGCTGTTTGCTTATTAGATTTCCCAGTTACCAAGTTGAAAAACATTTGTAAAGTCGCATTTTCCGGAACAGAGTTATTATTTTCTGGACAAAGATCAAACAGTAACATTGGCTCAAATTTCCTAAGAAAGGTGTTTTAAAAGCCAATTTGTTTGCTGTTTCCAGACGCCTTTAAAGGAATCAAAAGTATAAATTGACTTTAAAATGCAGAAGGTCATAAGTAAATGAGTTTTTAAAATTTTGTTTAAATTGCTTACGGCGCTAACTGTTTCAAACGTACAATCTGGATAAACTTCTCAACCTGGTTTGCAAACCAGGCAGAGCCATGGCTGTTCATGGCTCTATGAAAGTGTACAAACAGTGGGCAAAAGTCTTTCTAAACTGCAAGCAGCCCACGATGGAGGAAGTACTGGAAGTTTTATCGGTAAGTTGAATAATAGCCAATAAAAGCCAAAATTTTAATTGGTAACTTTATCCATTATTTGCTGCAAAAATGAAACTTCAATGCATTTTTTTCAACGAAAAAGCGTCTTTGAAACGGAAGCGGTCGGAAAATGAAACGAATTAGAAGCCTCCCTGCCATTTGACGGGTTTTCAGGTTTTCCAGGTATTTGATACCTAATTGAATTATAGCCAGTTTTTTAGGAAGACTGGCGCAAAACAAATACATATTTCGAATAAAGTTGGCGTATTTATTGATTTTCATTTTCACTCTATTTCTACCTTGTTTGGCTTCATTAAAAGAAACGCTGTTAAAATTGAACAGAACGTGATTAATTTGTGAATGGCTAGTTTCATCACCCAAAACAACAATGAACATGGCTGGAAATAATCCCAAGCACTTTTCCGCGCTTGGCTGGTTTAATTTACCGATATTTCATATAAATAAAGGCCATTTTACACCATATAAGTTTCTATGTCCCAGCTTAGTAGTAACAAATTTCCTTGCGCAATTTCGCCTCATCCACGCTCTTTCATCGGTTTCTGTTTGCGCGTATTTTCAAGCTTGTTTCATCATAATAAAAGAGCAGACAGTGATTTAACGTTCATCTACCCGGATGATTCGATCCTCCTTTAGCTTTGCAGGGATTTTTTAATTTAAATTTGCCGCAGTTTAAGTAGATTTGGCTGCGGTTATTCATATTGAGGTGTTTGAAATTGGACGAAATCAAAAATAAATTAGGTGTAATACATTGCATGTAGATTTGACTAAAAGTGGTTATATGTCTAACCATAAAAATGAGGAATTTTTGCTTCAAAAGCTTTGAATAACAATCAGACTGAGAAATGTGAATGATACGAAGAAGAGTTTCCGGTAATTGCAAATTTTCTCCAGTAAATATTAACAAAACCTATTTGGATCCGTATTATATTCAGAAAGGAAAATTCAAGGGCTCAATTATTTGACTACTGTCTCTAAGTTTGCTCAAAATGTTCCACTTTTGAGACTGAATCGCCCAACAGGATAATTTTAGTTTGCCATTAGTAATTGAAACTATTTCACCTGCATGCGTTCGACTGGTGATTTTGTTAACTTTTAAGGGTCATTATTAATGCGAGACACCACATCCACATATTATGTTCGACTTTTTATCCGTAAAGTTGCACGTGTTTCCTCGCAGTATTTTAGGCTTAAATGCCCTTAACTTTTAACGAGGGTATTGCGAAGGAAAAACTTTATATCAGCGGATTTTAATATAATAAATTGCTTATCACCTGCAATCGGCTGATAGATGGAAGAAAATTTTCGAAAAAATTCTCTATAGTTTCAAAAAGCGTGGCGCTATAAAATACTCTTTCAGGCTGCGGAAAATGGAAACCTGGAAATGTTCCAAAGACTCTACATCCAGGATCCAAGTCGCCTGTCTATCCGGGATTCACGAGGTCGCACCACCGCTCACCAGGCAGCTGCAAGAAACCGAATTAATATTCTGCAGTTTATTACCCAGCAAGGAGGAGGTGAGTTTGAACCCCCCACTGAAAAAACAAATCTCAAAGTTTCTGCAGGAAATGCGACACTGATGCAGAAAAGTATCGGAAAATTGCCGTAAATGGTCAAGCCCAACTAGTCTCTATTGAGAATACTTCCGGAGGAGTTGGAAGTTTTACCAATTCTCTATCTAACAAGAAAAGCTGCGGTAATGTCGCAACTTCCTCTCAATGACAATATTGGCTAAGTTGGGCTAACTTTTAAATTGCAAAGCTGCTAGAACCTTGAAGATATATTTTGTTAGCTTGAGAGCCGATGAGAGAACAAATTAGATCTTTTCCTGATTTCGGTTTCTGGTTAGAGTTTACACGTTTTTCTAATGTTCAGGATCTCTAATCCTGAAGACTTTTGGTTCCATCGAGATGATATTTCTTTCATTTCCTGGAATATTTTACAAAATCTTCTGAGTACTCTTGAGTAAGGAAAATACAGTCAAAAAAAGAAACAATATAATAAAGCAACGGCTTAAAAGCGCAAACTTTAACTGCCGCCCATTTGCTTACTGAAGAAAAAAATTAGAAAATGTGTTGCCCTATTAAAGAAAGGACATGGAGATACTAACTTTAAAACACAAAAATTTCAATAAAGTACTTACAGTGTGAAAGCAGAACTTTTCGTCCCATCTTGATTAATCTGAAGGAAGTTTCACGACAGTAATGTTTCCATTTGCAGACTTAAATGCCCAAGATAATGTAGGAAACACGCCCCTGCATGTAGCAGTGGAAGCTGAAACAGTAGATGCAATTGAGTTTTTACTGGCCACGTAAGTTGTTAATACTCACTATCCCCAATGTGTTTTATAATTTAATTTTCTGGCCATTTGCTCCTTAGTGGGCATTTTTGGAGAAGCGTTTTATTGCAAATGTATTTTAAACTCTACCGCAGGAAATGTTCACTAACTGCAGAAAATTCAACAAAATTTTTCAGAATTTGCGCCAGAATCCATTCGGTTAAGATAAAAATTTTCTTAAATGTCATTAAAGCCTGCGTTTAGCAGCATCCACGTGGCAAAACACGTAAATTTCGCATACCATTTATGTAACGCAAGAAACAATTCTAAATTTAGGAACGTGAAGTCTTAGATTCTCTTAAAAGCTTTCATCAGTCGACATTTAATCTCGACACAATTTAATCTGCTGTAAATACCTTCAAAGGGCAAATGAACCATTGAACTAAGAAAATGTGTTTAAAAATAGTTAAACGGATTTCAGTCAATCGTAAAGATTTTGGATTTGTTTGAAAACTGCTAGAGTTGGCAGTTTTTCGGGATTAACCGTAATTTTTTTCTTTTAAAAGGCAAGAATAAATCTCTAAAAGTATGCGCTAAAAACCTGGCAAAGGTCACTTTTGAAGCAATTTTTCCAATTTCCAGTGGGGCAAAATCGGATATTCTTAATGACAAGAAGCAAGCCCCAATTCACTTAGCTACAGAACTAGATAAAATTTCCGTGCTACAAGCCATGGCAAGATATAAAGGAAAAGTCGACATCCAACAAGGGGGTGAACATGGCCGAACTGCACTGCATATTGCTGCCATTTACGACCACGATGCATGCGCTAGGATTTTGGTAAGCAGTAAAACCTACAAATTGCTTACAAGTTTACTGTTTAAACATTCTAAAAACCCCTGAGCTTTTGGGGCTTTTATGCTGACGTAAAAAATAAATTCCATCTTCAGAGGTGGTTCTCTCGGGCTGAAAGCGCAAAAAATTTAGCAGTTCTGAAAATTTTCTGTTTTCTGTAGATTTCGGACTTTGGAGCAAGTCCAAGAAAACCTTGCGATAACGGCTACTATCCCATCCATGATGCGGCTAAGAACGCCTCGTCCAAAACCATGGAGGTTTTCCTGGCCTGGAGCGAATCTCTTGGTTGCACCAGAGAAGAAATGATCTCCTTCTACGACGCTGAAGGAAACGTTCCTTTGCACTCGGCTGTACATGGTGGAGACATCAAAGCTGTGGAACTTTGCATCAGGTAAGCAACTAGAGATGGCCCAACATTTTCTGTCTGCACCAGAGTTTTGCCTAGACATTCACAATTTTTTTTATTCGCTCAACTTTTTGCTGCAAATTTCCTGCTAAGACATATTCTGTTCTTAGCTCTTCGGCACAAAGTTTTGTTGACACCGTATCAGCCACGTAAGTTGCTTAAATAGCTTGTAACGTCCCCGCATGAAGTTATGCAAATTCCAAACCCAGTATGAAATATTTATATATACTCAAAATGGTATTAATAATATTATTATATTGTGCATATGCAGATGCAAATAGTAATATTTTATTTGTGCGTTTCTTGAACAATGTGTATTTTATACTGTTAGTTTTTAAAGTGCTTGGGAATGTTCATGTTGTCCTAATCGTGAATTTTTAAGTAAAAGGGATTTTTTAAGCAAAGAAAATATTTTTGGAGTAAGGCAAACATTATTGCTTTCGGCCGGATATAATTTTATAATAATATAAACAAAAACAGAATAAAATTGAACAAAAGTATTTTTTCCGCTGAAAAATATTCCTTTCATTTAAAAATTTGCCATTAGGACAACATTCCCAAGAATTGTAAAACGCGACAAGAGTGTATATACACTAAAAATGTAGTGTTGCAAAATTGTCGGTTTCTTGGTTTTTCAGCTGTTTTATTGCGCAAAAATTCAAATTAAGAAGCGACAATCAATTGGGCAACCACACAAAGACAGAAAAGACTGCTTGAGCCTCAAAACACCAATAACTTCAGGGTTGAGTTGTTAATTTAAGTAAAGTGCCCGATTTTTTAAAATTATTCTGAGAATTTTTCTCACAATTTCAAAAAAACGTATAAACTGTTTTATTTTTCGAGTGAGTTTTTCAAGTTTTAATTAAAGGCTGTTAATTTTGTTTAATCGCTTTTAACTCAAGTTGATTTTCTCCTGAACAAAACCTCAAAAAGCTGAAATATTGCACTTGTGCTTAACTTAAAATATCGCAAAATATCAAAGAACATTACAAAAACAGTTTAATGATTTTGCGCCGACAAGAAGAGTGTCTAGAATCAAAAGAGATATACTTTTGAGGCCACTCCTTGAAACTAGTGGGTCTTTCGGGTTTTTAGGTCGGCGTACAATAGAATTACTTCCTGACGTTTCGCAAGCACGAGTGGCTTGCATCTTCAGAAATGGTTTGCTTCTATTGTACGACGGCCTAAAAACCCGAAAAACCCACTAGTTACCGTGTCTAGAATGTTCAACAAAGATATCTGGGTTTCTATGCTATTTACTGTGACCATGAATACTTTAACTAGGCAAATAATCAACAACTACTGTACTGTGTAAATGTAGAGGATGGAACGTGGTAGCAAAGATTTTCTAGGAATGATTATTAAATCTCCCACTAGCAACCTGAAAACGTCGTTTTTCTTGCAACTCTATTTTGATCCAAAGAGTAAGACTTGAACCTCGTGAATTATTCGGGCTTTTAAACCATGGTGAAAGGGATTTCTTCCTGAAGTTAGACAAGCACGAGTGGCACATTGTCCGGCAGAAATTCTTCACACGATTGCCTAAAATCCCGAAAACTTCACCAGTTTCAAGCAATGAACGATCAAGCCTGCATTAGCCACCAAAAAATACAGCCAAAAACTGGTGTTACGGGATAAAAGCGCCAAAACTTACCAGTTTCAAATATCATTTTGTTGCTTTCCAGATCAGGCGCGAAGATTTCCACTCAACAGCACGATCTCTCCACTCCAGTCCATCTGGCATGTGCCCAAGGTAATAGAAAATCCCGAGCTTCCGGAAATTGTGCCTAAAATCTCTGTTTTTCGCTATTCAATCAGGTGCAATCGAAATAGTGAAAATCATGTTCCAAATGCAGCCGGAAGAGAAAAAGGCCTGCTTAGCATCTTGCGACGTCCAGAAAATGACCCCTTTACATTGCGCTGCCATGTTCGATCGTCCAGATATTGTGGAATACCTGATTAGTGAAGGTGCTGATTGCAATTCCATCGACAAAGAGCGCCGATCCCCTTTGCTGTTGGCTGCATTGAGAGGTGGCTGGAAAACGGTAAAAATGCAACATCAAATTCAAACAGAAATTCGTTGAAAACCCATCCTTTGTATTCGCTGTTACAAGAAAGCTAATTCTATATTTGCCTTGATCTACTGCTGGCAAAATGTCGTTAGAGCCGCGAATATGATTCAAAGGAATGAACCCAAAAATGAAAATCCGGTGTTCGAATTTAAAGCAGCTTCAGGCCGGCTGGGAAAATGGGAAATTTTACAAATCACTTCTGTCGAGAGAAAACGTGATTTACTGTCTAGTAACGGGGTTTATTCGAATTTAACGGTCTGGAAGAATTAATAGCAACCTTTCGGATTCTTATAGTTACTCCATAATCATCATTAGCTTAGAAATAGCGAATTGAAATTGTGCAAAAGACTAATATTTAGGTGCATACATTAATCCGCCTGGGCGCCGACATCAACATCAAAGACATCAACAAGAGAAACGTGCTTCATTTAGTCGTAATGAATGGTGGGCAATTGGAGCAATTTGCAGAGGAAGTAAGTAACGTAAGTACGCATTTTTAGCCACTTATTTCGGTTATTGAAAACAGAAATAGACGAAAAAGGTATTTCTTGCACTGGTTTAGAGCTCAGAAATTCCTTAAAAGCTTCCGACAAAGCATTTGAGCGAATTCGCCACTTGGAATTTATTCCGATGCAAAAGCACAAATTCTGCCTTATTTAAACAGGCTGTTTACACTACTGATGGTGCCTCAAAGGACGAGGCCGGCTGGAAAATTGGCTGGCTTATCATTTTCGCGCTCGTCAGACAATTTCCAATAAGGAAGCTAATTTTCGTCGTCTCGCTGACAATTTCAAGCTTTTATGCCTGATTTTGAACATAACATTGCTTCCGAACAAAGGAAAAGTTCTTGCTGGAAAAGTCCAAGTATTCCCCAACTTACAAGTAGTTGAAGCGACAATTTTTATGTTTAAATAGTGAAATTAAGGAACAAAACTTGACTCCTGATTTTGGTCCTTAAACAGGCCAAATCCAAGGAAAGTCTCCTTCAACTGCTGAACGAAAAAGACCTCACTGGGTGTTCGCCTCTTCATTACGCGAGTCGCGAGGGCCACATTAAGAGCTTGGAAAATCTGATTCGTCTTGGGGCCTGCATCAACCTGAAAAACAACAACAACGAAAGCCCTTTGCATTTCGCCGCCAGGTAAAAGTGCTGGATTTTCTGGACAATAAATTCCAAATTCGACTTTCTCCCGAAGGTATGGACGATACAACACAGTCAAACAGCTGCTGGACTCGGAAAAGGGCAACTTTATCATCAATGAAAGCGATGGAGTCGGGATGACTCCCTTACACATCGCCTCCCAACAGGTATTTGACTCTTTGCTCAAAGCTTAACTGAACATATTAAAAGAAGCAAAATTAGTAGTAGCTACAACTGTAGAATTGTAAAAAAAAATTGTTTTAAAGAGTTTTTTATGGTTTTTTATAGGGGCATACCAGAGTTGTGCAACTGCTGCTCAATAGAGGCGCTTTACTGCATAGAGACCATCATGGAAGAAACCCGCTTCATTTGGCTGCAATGAATGGATATACACAAACCATTGAGCTCCTTTTGTCTGTACACTCTCACCTGTTGGACCAACTGGACAAAGATGGGGTAAGTTGGCCTTTATTCAAAAATTTCCCTCATTGAGGATTTTAGCATCTGGAGGGCTGCTAAAATAAAATGTGTTTGCTGTAGAACACTGCTCTCCATTTGGCCACAATGGAGAACCGACCCAATGTAATCGCTCAGCTCTTGTCCATGAAATGCAAACTTCTCTACAATCAATCGGAAATGAGCGCAATTGACTATGCCATTTATTACAAGTACTTGGAGGCTGCTTTGGCAATGGTGACCCATGAAGATAGGTAAGAATCCGACAGAAATTAGGACTAGACCAAACAAAGGATCCTACAACAAGTTCAATGACAAATAAATTGCTCTTCACTCGATTTAACGCAATTGATATAAAATTAACTCCATTGAAAGGCTTCATTAAAAATGCAACCTACCAGATTGATTATCAACCTTTTCACTATCGCTGCGCAAACAGCCCTTTGATCCCTTTTATTTCCAGGAAACCATTCATTAACTGGATCTAATTGTATGCTTTGATCTCCATTTGTTTAGCTGATTTAATCAATTGCAGCCAGTTAATTGGCAATTACAATTGTAAACTGGGCTAAAACTTTGAACTTAGTGGTCTTCTGATCTTTCACTAAACTGTAGAACCTACTTCTACTTCGCTTAAACAAACTCATACAAAATTAATTAATACACATGCTGCGCACTTTATGGTAAGTAAAAAAAATAAATTTCCCTGATAACAAAGGTTTCGTTGTCCTTTAAGGGCCGAAGAAATAATGGCAATGAAATCGCCAAAAAATCCTTGCGTTTCTCTTGCCCTGATTGCTTCGATGCCTCGAGTATTCGAAGCTGTGCAAGACAAGTGCATTATTAAAGCCAATTGCAAGCAAGATTCCAAATTGTTTTCGGTAAGTATCATCCTGAAAGCAAAAACTGACTGAAAAAAAACCGAGTTTTCTAAACCCAGCTATTTTTTTAGATAAAGTACAACTTCATTTGTTTGCAACACATGACCCAAAGCGAGGAGATCGATGAGAAAACTGGGGAAAAACTGGTGGCAAAGGAAAAATCACCACTTCCAGCACTAAATGTGAGTTTCCCTTAAGCCAAAGTTTCCAAACAAACTCCTATTTGTAGGCAATGGTGGCGCATGGTCGGGTTGAGCTCTTGGCCCATCCATTGAGCCAGAAATACTTGCAAATGAAATGGAACTCGTATGGAAAGTACTTTCACTTGACCAACTTGCTGTTTTACTGCATTTTTCTGGGATCCATCACGTGTTTTTCCTCCCAGCTGATGGAGCATGAGAAGGCCCTGAATTTCAGCTACTTGAACCTGAGCCATATGAGCACTGAGCAGGTAAAATATTAACGATCGTTCTTGGCACCTACAGCAGAAGATTTTTGTTCCAGAAATACGCTGAGCGAAAATCGGAGATTCTGAACGTGCAAATGAACTACTCCATGTACATTTGCGCCATGGTAATTCTGGTTTTTATTGTGGTGAATGGAGCCCGCGAAGTCGCCCAGATGTTGCAGCAGAAATACGTCTATTTCTTCAATCCCATCAACTTGGTGACTTGGTGCTTGTATGGAGCTACGGTTGTAATGGTGAGTTTTTCTTAAAAGTCTGGGGCGTCAATTATCAGGGATTTTGCAGGTTCTGCCCATTTTTGGCGGGGAAATTTACGAAATCCAGTTCTCCTTTGCTTCAATGGCGGTTTTTCTCAGCTGGTGCAACCTGCTTCTTCTGCTGCAGCGCTTCGACCAAGTGGGAATTTACGTGGTGATGTTTCTGGAAATATTGCAGACTCTGATTAAGGTGCTGATGGTTTTCTCCATTCTAATCATCGCTTTTGGGTTGGCGTTTTACATATTGCTGTCCAGAGTAAGTTTCAAAAATGAATTAGTTACCGGATGATATTGGAATGGCGCCTGATTTTCTTTCTTATCAGGGTGACCACCTCTCCTTCAAGACGATCCCCATGGCTCTGATACGCACATTTTCGATGATGTTGGGAGAAATCGACTTTCTAGGAAGCTATGTGAAGCCCTATTACTTGAGCAATAAAGATGAAAACACCTTTTTGCCGTTTCCCATTCCAGCGTTCCTCATCCTGGGAATATTTATGGTTCTAATGCCCATTTTGCTCATGAATCTCCTCATTGGTTTGGCCGTGGGTGACATAGAGAGTGTCAGAAGGAATGCTCAACTGAAAAGACTGGCCATGCAGGTGGGAGTATGGAAAAAAGCGAGTTACATTTTCCTTATGCAATTCTTAGGTTGTTCTACATACGGAGCTGGAAAGAAAATTGCCGCGCCGATGGCTGCAGAGAGTGGACAAATCTGAAGTAATCGAATACCCCAACGAGTGCAAGAGCAAGAAGGGGATAATCGATTTTATACTGAAGAAATGGTTTGGAAGCCCTTTTTCTGAAGACAGTAGGTTCAGTTCAACAACTAGATAGTAGAAAAATAGGGAAATTAAATAAAACCTGAGAACTTAGATAGATTAAACAGTAGTTAGAAGTAGCTGCATGATGGAGTTTTAGGGTAGAACTATTATTTTCTAGGCATGGTGACTGAATTTTGCATGCGCCGATGGAGGTACTACGGTAGGATAGTTGATTTTTCATTTTTTCGACTCTCTGCACTCAAACAACCCCGATTTAACGCAAATAAATAACTCACTATCTCTGCCTTAGGTGACATTGTGATGGAGAACTCAGAGGACTATGTAATGAACGAATTGGCCAAAACTAAGAACAAACTCAAGGAAATATCTCAAGCAATCGAGACTCAGAATCAATTCCTGAGGTTAATTGTGCAGGTACTTCAGAGATTTTTCAGATTTTCATCTTCTTTATTTGCGTTTAAATTACCCAGAAAATGGAAATTAGAACCGAAGCCGACGACGTGGACGAGGGCGTATCAGTCAAAGTGTCCTCCGGACATTCAAACAAGTGGACTTCACCGAAAATCCGGAAAAAAATCAAGTCCGTTTTGAGCTTCTCACACAGAACAAACAGCGCCTAATTGCACAGAAACACTAATAACTTGTCAAAAAAAAAAAAATTCCTCGTTTTTTTTTAGTTTTTCTTAAATGTCTGTAGAGTAGAGGGTTACAGTGCTTTGAATGTAAACGTTCCGTTTTACAATTATGGTGTCCTCTAATTAAGTAGTAGGTATACGTGGTCTGCGTAGGGACCAATTATAGAATCAAATGACCAATGGCAGAAAAAATGAGCAAACTGTTCCAATCTAAGTCGAATTGGTGAATCGAGAACATCACAGTTTCTTGGTTTGTTCCGCAGATATTTAAATTAGTGTCTGACCATCTCTATTTTAATTAAATGTGATAGAATTAATAAAAGTGTTGTCTAAACTTCTTTTGATGTGTTTCTGGTCCTAGTTTTTTTACGTTTAGGATCATTTGCCAAATTGTATTCATTAATTTCTTCCAATTCTTTTTTTTAATTTATTTTCCTGACTGCGTGTAATTGTTATTATATTTTTTCTTTTCTGGGTTTCAGTCAAAATGTGAAATGAAAATGTTTGCGCCATCATCAAATTTAAAATTCAAAACAAATTACAAACACCAATTTACAATTAAAATATGTTGTACAAAAACTATAATTTACAAAGTATTAAAACATCCAATAGTTCTTAATGAAAAAAAAGGTTTTTTCTTTGGGAGAGCAAAACATTTGAAAAACTTACCCCATAATTGGGAAACATTAGAATCGTTTTAGACAGCCAAGCCTAAGAAGAAGAATGCTTTTATTGACTTTAAACCACAGACTATTTAGAGTCCAGTCTGGATCATGCAGAAGCGTTTCCTAAAAGAACAAAAAGGACAGCTTTGGGAACAGTTGATTTAAACTCCTTCTGGGCGATTTTGCAAAAAAATCCATAACTGCAACTGAGCACTTTATTCACAAAAAAACGCAATTTTTTTGCTTTATAACACTGATAATACAACTAGTTTAAAGGCATAAATTGCCAGAAATAGTGCAAAACTTGGCCAAACCGCTCTAGTGCCATTCCCAATTTTCACAAAAGGGTAAAAAAAGTCATAAGGCAGGCGAATATCCAAACTGGGAGGATCGACGAACTTAATTGCCTTCCTGCCGGTCACATCGTGGAAACTCACTTGGCTTGTTAAATCAAGCCCGAAATCCACAATCCAGCTCTGGTTTAGTCGTTTCAGGGCAAAATTCGGGTTTAGTAAATTGCGGAAATTGAAAGCCACTCCCAGAATCTTCTGCTGATTTAACACAGTCTTGAAATCCACTCTGGAGTGAAAAATGTCCACATTAAGCAACGTTGAGATGTTGTAGCACACTATCGAGGAGTTTTTATTGATAATCTTGCCAATAGTCTGGTTAAGCAATGTGGATGAGTTTTTTTTGTAAAAAGCGTCACTCCAGTCCTCTAAAATTTTAGCAGAGGCGCTACCGAAAAGGCCGAAAACCACTGAAGCATTGGGTTGAATTCCCCACAAATCAAAGACAGTTCTTTGGATTTCCTTGCAAATCTCTGTGGCGTTTTTCGTGTGGTTGAATGCCTGCATTTTTTGAAGCCGGCACTTGTTCCTCATACCGTACCCAAATTCGATAGCGGCATAGTTTGTATCGTTTCTCACACAAGCGCCTTCTGAACTCTGCGGAAAAACCAGAAAATTATCGATGTATCTCGCAGAGGATCGCTGGATAGAAGTCTCGTTGGCTTTCTGGTGTTTCCTTGCAATCAGGATCGGTTTTCCAAAAATGTATCCGGGATTTCCGCTGAAAATTTCTGAGTAGTTTTTCGTGCGATTATCCCACAGGAACTCCCAGGAGAAGTGCTGGGTAAATTGCAAGTCTTCCCGTCCAAAATGGTAGCTAAAATTGGCCAGCACTGCCAGAATATCCACTTCGTAAATCCCGCTGGTCGCATTATGGAAAAACCTCCAGTGCACTCTCTGAGCGGCATTTTGGCAATTATTCAAATTGTTTCTGATATCGTACGAGCACTGAAAGCTCATGTTAGAGGCGTTCTTCACTTTGAAGCAATTGTTCAGATGGACGTCGCAGAGTTTTGCCTGAATTTCCAAGCACACGTTCTTAGGACAGGACTGAAAGCAAAAAATTTGTGATTTGGTTAACTTTTCTTTCACAAATGGTATAAAGGAGTGAAGAATGGCGGGAATAGAAAATGTATTTTTTGTATAATTTTTGAATTTTAACATCCATTTCAATATTAGTGGCTTTAAACCCAGCCTTCAAGCACCAGGCTTTCTGTGCAGTAAATGGACACTAAAGATAAAACTGTATAAACATAAAGATGCTTTTCATATAAAAGCTTTCCGCACTTACCCACCGCCGAAAAATATACTCACGTAATAAAAGTTCTTCTTCGCACTGCTTGCATTTACCGACTTGGGGTTTGCCAGTATTTTAAAACCGGAAAAATACGAAGAAAGTATCAGAGCCTCATTGCCTTCGGCTGCAGCTACTGGACTGCATCGGCTTTGCTCGTTGATCAGAAAATGGATATCTTCTTCGAATGAGCAGACCTGAGAAAGCACGCTTTTGGGCATCCCTAGAAAAACCTCCCTGATGAGCTTTATTGGAAAAAACTCATCAATTTGCTTACGCAAAACGTCGAAACTTGAATCGTTTTTAACTATCCAGATCGAATCTCCATAGCCATACTTTCTTGCCTCTGTTAATTGAGGAACGGGCAAAACGCCATTGCCCCAGAAAGAGTGTCGGGGAGAGAAAGCTTCCAGGGGTCCAATGGGCTAAGAAACCTCAATGATTGCAAATAGTCCATTTGATTTGAAAGCCCCGAATACCTGATCTTTCTGAAGTAAGTGAGAGTCGGGAAGATTGCGCGTAATAACGCAAAACATCCCATCCTGGTTGACTTCCCATTCAAACGCGGTGTTATTAACATAGATGTGCTTAGTATACTTGCAATATCGATCATCGAAAAACCTGTTGTCGTCCAGTTGACAATGATCAAACAGCTCTTTATCAGCGGCTGAACAGTGCAGGTCGCAGCAGCAGTTGATGTCGCAACTTTTCTCCTAAAAAGCGACAGAGTTCGAAAAAACCTAGTTATTTTCCTCTAAAAAATTGACCAACTTGCAAATCACACGTGCACACGTCGGCTTCACTCCACTTCCCCAAAGATCGGTGCTTCGTCTCATTGAAATGTCGAGTGCCATTATTTTTACCTGCTTCTAAAGGTGCTTCAGTGGCAGTTAAATTGGTGCAGTTACCAAAGCCGCTATCGCAAGTTTCAACAGTGCTAGTTGAATAATCTGTTGTGGTCGAATCTATGGGGGTTGACTCAGTTTCAGGTGCAGGTTCAGGGGTTTTCGAAGTTTGCACTGAAAGTCTGCAGGTGCAAACCAGCACCAATCCAATAAACCTCAACAGCGCCATGTCTAATACTCTACTCCGTAGTTGTTAAAGTTGCGCAAAATTATCGCCAAGTCGAAGCTAACCACTCCCATAGCCTCAGTGGAGAGTTTGTATCGTTTCTCCGGAGAAAAGATCAGATCTGGGTACTTAAGATGCGAGCCCCCGCCTACAAAGTACTGGACAACTCGATCTCTAAGCGAACCCAAAGGCCTCCAAGTGTAGCAATCCAGAGTATGTCGACCAGGACTGGTTGGGACTGTCACCAACCCGTAGCCGAACAAGTGGGTTCTGCCCAACCAGTCGAGATGGTAGACTTCTAAGTAGATTTTTGGCCAACCTAAATTTACAATGTGTCTAAAAAATGTGACGCTGATGTTGAAGAATAACGCATGAAAATATAAGCTTGAGTTTGATGGTGTTAAAAATTTCAGAATATTATTGGCTTTAGTTTAGAAAATTCGAATTTTTAAACATGACACCACATTTGAGGAAAGCCTCCGTTTTGGAAATTTGCACTTTACTGCTTGTTTTCATTTAAAAAATGTTAAATTTTTAAAATGAGGGCTTATTTGAGAAAAACTATACACTTTGAGACCGAAAAAAACCGGATTCCGGGCGATTTTTTAGAATATTAACATCAGTTTAATCCAGGGGCGGATCCAGCTTTAAAGTCAGGGGGGGGGGGTATGTAAAAAAAATACAGTCTTCTGTTATCTATGAAATTAGAAAAATGATCGTCGTTTTCTGCAAGGGTGGCGCAAGATTATTGCAAATATTCATGTTTTCCGTCCCGTTTTGCATCTTTCTCGGAAGCAAAATGAGCAAGAACGCTCGTTTTTACATCATTCCACAGATAACTAAATGGCCTTTATTCGAAGTTTCTCAAGAACCATTCGAGCCACAGAATTCGTTTTGGCATCGTTGGATAGAGAATTGAAAA